AATCAATCCGGAGCGGCGATCGAGAAACAATGGGACATTAATAAAAACGTTACTTTTACTAGAGCAAGCCGTGGCGCGTTCCGTCTCTATGAATATAGAAATCTGATTGTCAGGCAATAAAACTTATTATTTATTCGCTAATAGATACTTCAGGCACAATTCCCGAGCATTTATTTAAACATCCGCTATTCGCATTTCTATACTAACATTATAAAGAGGAAAGATTTGTATATATTTAAAAATCACAAAAATTAGTCAACCGATTTCAAAAATTCTTGCACCATTAAAAGCTTGGTATCACTCAGTAACATAGGGTTTTACTATTTTTTTTTAATCTCACGCGGACGTAGTCCCGAGCAACAGCTAGTTTGTCATGAGACGAAAATTATTCTCGCCTCCTGTACAAATATTCGACTCGAATTTACTGTAATAAATTACTTATTTTTAAACTATAGTTAATAAAACATATGTTACGTAAAAATTAAGTCTTAACACAGTATTAAGTTTACGTAGAAACCTCGACAAGTTAGTTTCTTACAACAATAAATAAAACATAATCGATGAAACGGTATGTAGCAACATTTATTATAGTTATTGTTTAGATTCCGACACACAATGCCTATTAATGCGTTTCCTGTTTTAATGCTAGGAATTAAATAAATAGAAACAAAATAATTTTCTTGTAGTTAAATGTTCTAAGATAGTAAATATGTAGTTGTAGACAGATCAATAAGGACAGTTTGACACGTGTAACTTTCAATTACCAACACTAATGAAGATTTCTAGTCATTTGGTCAGCCTTGACTCATTTAGAATTCAAAAACAGTAGGAATTATTTTTTAAACTACTAGAGACAAGCGAATTTTTTTGACAAGGTTGAATGAAGAGAAAATCTATAGATACAAAGTTTGAGAAGCTAATCGGGAATAATCATATAAATTTCATTAAATTTAAGTGCAAAACAATATGGCAGCTTTTGGTAGCAGTAAAGTTACAAATTTATTTTAATCACAAACAAATGGTTCTTTATTAAGGTAATACAAAAACCAACAAAAGTGGTTTCAAATGCTACACCAATTAAATAAGAATAATGGATTGTTGTGCCGGGCATCAGGCGAGCGGTGGGGCAGCGGGCGGATTGTTGGAGGCTTCGGACGCGTCACTAGATGAAAAAGCACGAACCGAAGTCCGATGAGAGGTATGCGAGGAATGGAAGGGAGCATCCGGCGGCAGCGATTGTTGCCAGTTATCACTGAATGTTTTCCCCGGGTGTATTTTGTGCCGCCACAAAAAAACCAACATAAAGGGCGGGCGCGGCGCGTTTGAGACACCGCCCCTGTGGGAAAATCGTCGCCAGAAAACTGCGACGCGAATAAATTATAAGCCCTCTCACGTGGAACGCGGCGCATGCCTGTGTTTGTAATGGAAAGCGCGGCTACGAGCGTATAAGCAAAAATTATCCGATTCGTGTTAGCGGTCATTATATCCTTGTTGAATTCAAATCGATAAATGTGATAAAACTGAATACAAACTCGATTGCTTTCGAACAATGTGATTTATAAAAACTCTCTTACACATTTTGTGTTGATAACTTTATGGACCTGGAGGCTTTTGGCTTTCAACTGTTTCTTTCATACATTGTTGTGAACGACTTGCGTTGTTAAAAACTGACATTTATCACACCTTTTTAACATAATTTAATTTACAAATACGTTCAAATAATCGTCTCACTTTCCATATACACGGACAGATTCCTAACACAACATCTAGATAAATATACCTAATCAAACATCAATGTTTATAATTTCTGTAGTCATTTTACTAGCTTTATAAAGCATACGAGTAAGTTATCAGAAGTGCTTAGATCTGTCTACTGGATTACACTTTGATACATAAATACATATAGTTGTCAGGCGAGCTGTGTAAATGTCGCTCGATCTCACGCCGATGGGCAATCATTAGCGAAAACGTACCGGCCCGGAATAGAACTGACGCTAGTTTCACACGAGGGCAGCACAGACAGAGTATTAAGGCAGTTCAGTATTGTTATTGTTTGAACTCAAACGCTGAGACGAAACAGAGTACGTAGACAGTCACATTTCGTTAAGAATATCGTTAAGCCATGAGTCAAAAATGTAAAATACTGATTATTCCAATAGCACATTTCGTCGACTCTACAAACTATATCGTTCATTTAATATGAGTTTAAACATAGGACACAGTGTTGTATAAAACAATATCAGAACTACGCTGTCTATTACCATGTCTCACAATGCTAC